CTTTATTTTTTTAAAAAAAACATACTCATCCTTACAAAAAACAGTTGGAAGTAAAGAGATTAGTGTCACAATACACTTATATAGACAATATATAAAATTGAAGATAGGAAGTAACTTCACACTGTGACTGATTTTTAAATGTTCTAATTTTTAGCTCAAATCATATGAGATGCTGAGAACAGAACGTTCCAAGTAACAGAGTAATATGTAGAATCATTTTCTTAAAATGCACACCGGAAAAGTCAAGAAAGAAGTAACAGACTGGGTGTAAGGAAAAGCATAAAAAAAAAGGATAAATCCTAACCCCACTATATCCATTAGAACATATAAATAAATAAACAAACAAACAAACAAACAAACAAACCAAATGTTCCTGGTACCATCAAACTTTGCTTGAACATATTCCCCCGGAATATTCCTAGAGCTTGTAACTAAAACATGAGGATTAAAGTGAAAAAAAAAAAAAGTTTTTAATGCAGTGATAACCAAACAACCAAAATGGCAGTATGAATATTATATAGAATAATCTTTAACACTAAAGGAGTTTGTCACTGTTATTAATAGTGTTATTTTTCAATATCTAAATGTACACTACTTATTGGACAACAAGTCTACATGATGGAAAACCAACATGATCTATGTGTATATGTATATAAGATATAAACACACATAAGCATATAGGTATGTAGGAAACACTGATTTTAGCTCATGAGACATAAAAGCATTGATCACAGAGGGGTGACATCATCCAAGATGGTGAAATGGGTAGTTCCCACTTCAGTCTTTCTCACAGAACACTCAACTAGCAGCTATCACACGAGACACCATTGGGCAAATCTCAGTACTCAGGAGTGAGGCTGAAGCACCACCTCGACCATGGAGACCAAGACTTCTATCTCTTGGGGCGCCTGGGTGGCTCAGTCAAGCATCTGCCTTCGGCTCAGGTCATGATCCCGGGGTCCTGGGATCGAGCCCCACATCGGGCTCCTTGCTTCTCCCTCTGCCTGCAGCTTCCCCTACTTGTGTTCTCCCTCGCTCGCTCTGACAAATAAATAAATAAAATCCTTAAAAAAAAAAATGACTTCTATCTCTTGCTATTATGAAGACACATCCAGATTTTGATGAACTGCCAGCGTTTTCTCCTCAAACAGCAGTGGGTAGAACTATTGAAAATTGAGAATGTTCCTGTTTTATCTAAATGCAAAGAATGATGCCCTGAACACATACTTCACGGTGACTTGTATCAGTGTTAGAGGTCAACCACAAACAGCATCTCCATTCAGGTTTTCTTCACACTGCCCATTACAGTGTCCTTAACTTTCCATGGAAAAGTAGGTATTGAATGGATTCCCTACTATATAAATGCCCCTCTTATCTGTGAGACAGCAACAAATGATTTTACATATACACTACCAATAAAGGCATGAAATAATTTATGAGTAAAGTTAATGACATTTGCCATTCAAAAATACTCAAATATGGTCAAGAGAAAAAAGAAAGACATACTGTCTTAAAGTGGGGCTTTCCTCGAGATGTTTCATACCCTCAGTCTCTTCTGGCACTAAAATTTCATTTTGGTTAATTGTCCCAGTTTGGTTATATCTATCATAAAATCCTGCCTGCCCTTTTCTACCCTCCTCCCTCCCCAGGCACATTCCCAGTCACTCATTAAGTATAAATACTCAGGGCCACAGCTTTCATACCTTTCCATATCACTCTATGGAAAGAATATTCTTTGTCTTTGCCAATAAGCCTAGGGCTTCAGAAGATATAACTGAAAGACACCAGGTATTTATCTCACTTACTACACTTCATGTAGATAGACATCAAAATGCTAATGTACAAAATGAATACCCGTCACAGAACATCAGCAGAATGGAGAAATAAGAACCACCAGGGCTTTGCTCCTCCATGGAGACAAAAATGGACCAAACTACCTTTTTCAGTGCTCCAGAAGCCAGTTAGAAGACCACAGCACCACAGGCAGACACAAAATGAAGGAGAGTCACATTGAAGAGACCAGGAGCTTGTTACACTTGCCTACAATAGTTGTTCACGCTGCCTAGCATTCCATAACAAGATTGTGAGAAAACTCTCACCTCTTCTCAGGAGAGAAAGACATTAAGTGACCTCTTATGTTTAATGATCTGGATTCTGCAGCTGCCTGATAGACCTCTTCCTCTCGTGCAGGACATGGAGGGCTGAGGGCACCCTCTGGATGCACTATGGCGGCCGCTCAGAGGAAACCTGAGTACTTGTTCAAACAGCAGAGAAACGGCAGAGCTGAAGGCAAACATCAGGGAGAGGAAGGTATCATGGGCTCCAAAGAAGGAAAAAAAAACACTTTTACAACTGGAAAATTACAAAAACTCAGATATTACATATCCCCAAAACATGTTGACAAGCCCCAGAATTAGCAGCACAGCTGACTGTTATTTGTGTTCTCCTGTCAAAGGAAGTACATAAAGCCTGGGACCAGAGGCCATTTCTTTTGCTTGTTTGTTTTAATTCCCAAATCTCAACAAAGGATCACAGGGCATACAAAAAAAAAAGAAGAAAAAAAAAAAAAAACAGAAAAGTAAGTCCCAATCAAAGGAACAAAATAAAAGACCCCAGACTGGCCCTAAATAAATAGAGAACTATTAAATGCCTACAAAGAATTCAAATAACCATCAGAAAGATGCTCATACAGGAAGAAGAGATAGGAAAACAAATGATATCAGGAAAACTATGCATGATCAAAACAAAAATCCAAAGAGGTAGAAAGTATAAAAGACAACAAAACAGAAATTGGGAGCTAAACAGTACAATTACTGAATTTAAAAATAAACTGGGGACGCCTGGGTGGCTCAGACGTTAAGCGTCTGCCTTCGGCTCAGGTCATGGTCCCAGGATCCTGGGATCGAGCCCCGCATCAGGCTCCCTGCTTGGAGGGAAGCCTGCTTCTCCCTCTCCGACTCCCCCTGCTTGTGTTTCCTCTCTCCCTGTGTCTCTCTCTGTCAAATAAAGAAAATCTTAAAAAAAAATAAAAAACTGAAGAATCAGCAACAGACTTGATTAAGCGGAAGAAAGAATCAGACATCTTTTTTTTTTTTTTGAAGATTTTATTTATTTATTTGAGAGAGACAGAGCAAGCACAAGCAGGTGGAGTGGCAGGGCAGAGGGAAAGGAAAAAGCAGGCTCCCCACCAAGTAGGAAGCCCGATGCGGGGCTCAATCTCAGGACGCTGAGATCATGACCTGAGTTGAAGCAGACACTTAACCGACTGAGCCACCCAGGCGTCCCAAGATGCCTGATTCTTTCTGGGGCACCTAGGTGCCTCCCCTCCGCCATCTCTCTTTCTCTCAAAAAAATAAGACAAAAAAACAAAACAGCAAATAAAAACATATATTATTAAAAAAGAATTCTATTTTACTATAATTTTAAACTGTGAATGTGCATGTATGAAAAGCAAGCATTTTGAATCATTGCTATGTCCTATATGGCAGTAAAACTGTGAAGGAAATTCATTATGATCAATCATAAAAATCTCTAATGGAAAATTTTCTGAACAAGCACTTAAAAGACATTAAAGAAATGTATTATGTTATTAATTTGTTCCTCCTACTCTTACAGAGAATGTAAAGCGGTGATCCATTCTTTAGAACCAAACAAAAGCCCTTTATTTCTAAATAAAGAAACACAGAAATTATAAAATATGCTCACAATTCCTTTATATAAAATAAATATTTGGGACTGGGGTGCCTGGGTGGCTCAGTCGTTAAGCGTCTGCCTTCAGCTCCGGTCACGATCCCAGAGTCCTGGGATCGAGCCCCGCATCGGGCTCCCTGCTCCGCGGGAAGCCTGCTTCTCCCTCTCCCACTCCCCCTGCTTGTGTTCCCTCTCTCGCTGTGTCTCTCTCTGTCAAATAAATAAATAAAATCTTTAAAAAATAATAATAAAATAAAATAAATATTTGGGATTAAATTCAGATACATTCTCAGGAAAGTGGACGAAAAACCTGAAGACTGATTTTTCCTGAAATAAATTACATGAATAAAACTTTTTTTTTAATATGGGACTTTTACTAATTATATAATTCATTTCTTATAAAGCACATGCCTTTGTCACAGCAGAACTTCTCATTTCAGAACCAAGTGAATCTCCTATAAAAGTAATCAGAAAGTGAAAATAGGACACAGTCACAGGAAATTCGTATTAAACTGGACAAAATTATAAAAATGATGCAATTATTAAGAAATAAGGTAACAACTGGGACTTTATGTACTAAGTACTAAGTGTTCTAGCTCCTCTATGGCATTACCTTATATAGGAACTCTGGGATACAAACAGAAACACTAAATTGAGGAACTGGATCGCATTGAGTTGTGATTTCTACTCTTAGTCCAGACAAGAGAAAGGAAATTGTGAAGGGAAATGAAGCATTAGATTTTTCTCATTTTAGGGAGGTGCTTTGTTATTTGAAGAAATTACTGTCTCCATTTTGTACAGTTATGTTTAAAGCTTCCATAAAATTGGAAATCATAAAGCAGAAAAGAGGTGAAATCTGTCTCTACCGTTCCTAGGATTTCTGCACCAAGCCCCAATATGCCCACCACTCCCCTCACACACCTCTGACATGAAGCAAAACAGAACTTAGAAATGGTCTAACAGAGTTCCTCAGAAATAGGCAGATTTTTCCTATAACAGATTTCCCCAGGTCTCCAAAAGCAATGGAAAAGCACTCAGATCATGAAGGCCTTCACCATCCAAGTGGAGGGTGTTGTCTATGCTGTGAATGTGATGGAAGATCACTAGAGCTGAATGAGAATCCTCACAGGATGTAAGAGCATGATGAGTGTTGGACAGGGGGTGTCCCTCTGACAGCAAGAGAAATACACCAAGGCTTCTCAAACTTATTCCTATTCCAAGAGAGCTACCCAAACCACAGTGTAAGGTCTAGCTTCCTCCTTGACCTTTGGGCCTCACCTCTGTCATCTGCTTTATTCATTCCCACCTACCTGGGTGGATGGCTACTGTCTCCTTTCCCTTCACATCCCAGAGCTCCCTCTTTTGCTCCAAAAAGATGACCAGGTCTGGCTTTGACACAACAAGACCTGTTTATTAGAAAAAAGGAATGAGTACTGCTAGAGATTCTAGCTTTCAATCCAGTATTACGCTCACTAGAGAGAAGAGAAGACATTGTAGAATTCTAGAAAATGACTTCCCAGAAGCTGTGGTCTAATAGCCCACTGAGAACATGAAGGAGGGATTTGTAATGTTCAAATCTTGGATTCCACTTCCAAGTACTACATACAATAATGAGTGGAAATTGGAGTTTAAGATGTGGGCAGTACCATTTTATGCCCCTCAATAGTTAGAATTGCCACTAATCTACAGAAATGATGATGTTACCTTAAGGAAGGGGAAGCTAAAGCTGGAAAGGAAACATCATGAAGATTTTTCTCTCCACCTCTAAACCCTTACTTACTTCCCTTACTGCAGCGATCTGAATCCCAGTCGTGCAAAGAAGAATCTTCCAAGAGACGGTCTTCAAGGGAAGGAAGAAAACCCTGAGTGTGGTTTGGGAAGTCTGGAAGGAAGTTATCCTCACCCAAGAAGAGAAGGTTTCCATAGTTCTCTAACATCACATCCCTGTACAATTCCCGCTGAACGAGGTTCAGGCATCCCCACTCCTCCTGAGAGAATTCTATGGCCACATCCCTGAATGTCAGCAGTGCCTGCAATAAACACCACAGTTACCGAGTGGCCATTGACAGAGTTCACAATGGTTCCTAAGATGAAAGAGGAAGTTAATGTCACCAGCTAGACCCACGACCTAACCTTTCTGCTCACCTGCTAGTACCCCCCGAATTTGTCCCAAATTTTCTTTAAGCTCTTTTTCCCAGCCTTTTTTTTTTTTTTTTAAGATTTTATTTATTTGACAGACAGAGACACAAGGAGAGAGGGAACACAAGCAGGAGAAGTGGGAGAGGGAGAAGCAGGCTTCCCGCTAAGCAGGGAGCCCGATGTGAGGCTCAATCCCAGGACCCTGGGATCATGACCTCAGCCGAAGGCAGAGGCTTAACGACTGGACTGAGCCACCCAGGCACCCCTCAGCCCACCTTTAAATTCAGGCAAAAAAAAACCCAGGGACATAGTTTCCCATAATGGAAACAAAAACTACTACGCAAGTAGTAAATACTACCTTGTCTAAATGCTCCAGCACCCAGACCACCCAGACCAGTTTGGGCTTAAATGCCAACTCACACTTGTGCAGATGCACCTCAAGAGTGACCCAAGGAGTGACCTACAGTTACCTTTACCTCATTATAATACTAAATTCTCCCCCAAGGAGCACAAAGCTCATTTACATAACATACAAACTGTGGTTAGAATGGTTTCCTTAAAGCAGATGCATGACCTTATGCCCACCTCTTCATAAGATGACAAGGCTACCCTTTCTAAATATTCATCCTAAGCCTAAATAAAAGGAACTCATTCACCCTTGCTCTGGGAGTCTTGGCTTTGGAAATTATTCCCTGTGATCTCCTTATTTGCTATAAATAATTTTCCTTGGTGTGACAACTCCACTGTGTAGTTTCTGTCTGTGATTCACCGGGAAGCAAATTCACTTTAGTTCAGTTACAAATTTGGTGATCCAGATGGGACAGGTGTCTTTCCCAAGTTCTGGCCTCCAACAGATGAAGCTGTGGGCACCACAAGCTCACCCCGGCTAACCTGTTCAAGTTACTGGGGCCGGGGGCAGATTCCCTGAGGGAGGAAGGAGGCTCTCACTCTTCGTGCCTGTGACTGCCAGCCTGGGGTTCTGACATCACCTGAAATCCAGCATCCACTCTGACTACTATTACTCAGAAGGACTTCTGTTGGGATAAGTTAACAACAGGTACGTGACACAGCTTTTTTTTTTTTTAAGACTTTATTTATTAGAGAGAGAGTGAGATCACAGATCATGAGTGGGGGGAAGGGTAGAGGAAAAACAGACTCCCCACTGAGCAGGGAGCCCAATGAGGGGCTTGATCCGAGGACTCTGGGATCATGACCTGAACTGAAGGCAGATGCTTAACCAACTGAGCCACCCAGGCGCCCTGTGACACAGCTTTCAGAGGTAAACTAGAGTTGTCTGACAAAGTCTGGGCAAGCCAGCATAATATTAGGTCAGAATACTCTGAGGGAATTGAATACTCATTCAACTTGAGTCTAGACATCCCTGATGACAGATCACAGGACCCAGCCTTTCACAGGCTTGGGATGATCTAATCTAGCAAAATGGGAGTGAACTAATGGAGACTAGTCTAAGGTCTGTGAGATTGAAACCTCCATCTCACCTGGTTGTTTGGTCTGTTTGTTGTTCCCAATTTAAATGCCCACCCTGGCTGCTTGGTCCTTAAGCACTTCCTCCTTTCCCTTAACCCCGAAAAAAAGGAGGCAGCAACTCCCTGGGTCCCTGGAAGCATGCACTTGACACAGGTAAGAATTCTATTTAGCTGGTTAAAAGACAAATGCTTGTTAAAAAAAAAGGGGGGGGGGCATTCTAAAATCCACAAAAATATAAAGTAACCCAAATTTTCTCACATCTACTTATCTGGGATCATTTTGGTAAATTAAAGTTTAAGCTTATTGGTTTAATTAAAATAGACCTGTCTTTTGGACAATGCCAGGGGAGGATTGGTGAACAGACTTTACTGTAATGCCAATGGCCCCTGGTGTTTGTAAATACATTCACTGGATGGACTAAGGCCTTTCCCTGAAGGACAGAAAGAACTAACAAAGTAACTAGGCCCTTAGTAAAGGAGAAAATTCCTCAATTTCAGTTGCCAAGGTCAATCCAGAATGACAATGGGCCAGCCTTTATATCCAAAATTATTTGAGGTGTCGTGTAGAGGTTACACTCTGCCTGGAGACTCAGTCTTCTGGGAAGACAGAATGGGAGAGCAGAACCCTAAAACAGACTCTGGCAAAGTTGTGCCAGGAAACAGGAACATTGGTTAAAGTTACTACCAACAGCTCTCACCAGAGTGAGAGCTACCCCAAAGGGCAAACTAAAATCTTGGCCCATTTGGGATGACGTATGGGAGGGCTTTCCAAAATGCTCTGACTCCTTCTCACCTCCAGACCCACAGGTTTCTCAAGCCATTAAGCATATAATTAATCTCTGACAGGTGATGAATACACTCAACAAATATGAAAATTTTTCCTCCCTCTACCCACTGATATTAAGCTTCACCCAAATGAAACTGGGGACCGTAGTAGTACCCAGTGCTACTAATCACATGCTCTTCCTTCACATTAGAGGGAGCCCTACCTTGAATCCACCCTAGGAGAGTAAAATAGGCATCTACCCAGAGGCCCAGGGGGAGATGCTACTAGCACCAGGTAACAACAAATATTCCTGTGAGCCATTCACTGACCTGAAACTTCTGTTGGAGAAACTCACAAGGTTAGGAGAGCCTCAGTGCGTAAGGACTCTCAAATTTAAACCACAATAATCTCTATCTGCAGGACAGTAGTTCTGCTGTTCTGGTTTCTTCAGCCTTTTTGTTTGCTGCCAGGCCCCTTTAACAGATTAAATCATTCTCTGACTGCTGAGTAATAAATACCACAGTTTATTGTTAGTACATGGCAAATAGATGCCCTAGACCCCTCTGACTTGGTCTGATTTTACAATGAACACTTTTTCCTTTTTTTTTTTTAAGGTTTTATTTATTTGAGAGAGAGTGAGCAAGCGGGGGTGGGGGAGGAGGAACAGAGGGAGGAGGGAGAGAATCTCGAGCAGACTGCACTGAGTGCAGAGCGTGATCGCTTACCAGAAAACAGTGGATTTATACAAATTATAAGCTATATGTAGCATCCATGCCCTGTAATGCCTAGTGTATTTATTTGTTTTGGGGGGCTTTTTTTATTTTTATTTTTTTTTAAGATTTTATTTATTTGAGACAGCGAGAATGAGAGACGGAGAGAGAGCACATGAGAAGGGGGAGGGTCAGAGGGAGAAGCAGACACCCTGCTGAGCAGGGAGCCTGATGCGGGACTCGATCCCGGGACTCCAGGATCATGACCTGAGCCGAAGGTAGTCGCTTAACCAACCGGGCCACCCAGGCGCCCTTGGGGGGCTTTTTTAAAGCCTTATTTATTTTAGACAGAAAGAGAGGAAGAGAGAGTGTGAGCGGGGGGAGGGGCACTGGGAAAGAATCTCAAGCAGACTCCCCAGTGAGCGTGGGAGCCAGATGCTGGGCTCAATCCCACGACCCTGAGATCATGACCTGAGGCGAAATCGAGAGCCGGGCACTTAACCAACTAAGCCACCCAGGCGCCCCACAATGAACACCTTCTTAATTTTACTTCTTGTCACTATTATCCTAGAGATGCTAAAAGCTATAAACACAGTGGGCCATCCCTGGGGGATAAATTCCCTATGTAAATGTCAGTAGGACTATAACAAAAAGAAACTAACAAAACACTGCTCTTATTGCTGTTTGGACCCTGCATACTTAACCGCTTGGTGCAATTTTGTCCAAGCACACAGAGGCTATAAAATTACAAATGGTAGTAACACGGGGATATGAGCAGCTTGGGGTTAGACCTGGACACCCACAAGCGTATCTAAAACTAGCAGAGGAAAAATTCTGCTCCTCAGTCAATCCTTAGGATATGCCCATGTCTAGCAGGAGAGTAGCTCCAGAAGATGGACCTTCTCCTTGTGCCCCTCAAGAACGAGGGGACTAAAACCAGAGGAGGGATTTGTCACCAGCTGGACCCTGAGACCGGACCTTTACTGCCCACCTGCCTGCACCCAGCGAGCTTTGTCCCACATTTTCCTTAAGCTCTTCTTTCCAGCTTATCTTTCAACTCAGGCAAAAGACCTGATGGGCACAGCCCCCCAATAATGGAAACTTCCTCAAGGATTAAGGACTGCTCTGACAAAGAGCTCCAGGGGCCCAAACCAGTTTGAGCTTAACCTCCAAATCACATCTGCAGATAAACAGTTACCTTTACCTCATGATAATACTAAATCTCCACTCATTTATGTAACACACAAAGTATGTATAGACTGGTTTTCTTAAGGCATGTGCACGACCTAATACCGGCCGCTATAAAAAATGACAAGGCTCCCCTTTCTAAATATTCATCCTAACCCTAAATAAAAGGAATCCACTCATCCTTGCTCGGGGAGTCAAGGCTTTGGAAGTTATTCCCAATGATCTCCTTATTTGCTGCAAATAAAATTTCCTTTTTGTCACAGCTTTACCGGGTGTGCTTTGTATCTGTGACTCACCAAGGAGTGAACTCATGTTCGTTCACTTATATTCAGGAGAACTGGTTCTGGCTCAGGTGTGTTTCCTGCTGTATCCATAAGATAATTTTTTTGAAGATTTTATTTATTCATTTGAGAGAGACAGAGACAGAGACAGCACAAGCAAGGGGAGCTGGAGAGGGAGGAGAAGACTCCCTGCTGAGCTGGGCTCTATCCCAAGACCCTGAGATCCTGACCTGGGCCGAAGGCAGACACTTAACCATCTGAGCCACCCAGGTGCCCCCATAAGATAATTTTTAACACACTAATGTGCTCTAATGTATTCTCTAGCCCTGAGGTAAAAGGATGGCATATGAACCACAAAACCATTATAAATACTGTGTTTACCCAAGATAACTTGTCAAATGAAGGCCTCAATACAGGCATACACATTACTGAGAACTACATTTATATCATACAGCAGAAGTTGTGTCTATTTCTTTTTTTTTTAATGTTTTATTTATTTATTCATGAAAGTCAGAGAGAGAGAGAGAGAGGCAGAGGCAGAGGGAGAAGCAGGCTCCCCGCCTAGCAGGGAGCCTGATGCGGCACTCGATCCCAGGACTCTGGGATCATGACCTGAGCCGAAGGCAGATGCTTAACCATCTGAGCCACCCGGGCGCCCTGTGTCTATTTCTTACATGGAGTTTTGGTGGATTACAAATGTACTTATCAAATTCTAATGTGAGTTAGAATTTCACAACAGGCACTGTAGATCTTGTGAAAATGCAGATTCTGTTCCAGACTTCTGGAGTGGGATCGGGGTCTGCATTTCTAACGGAGGCAGTAGCGTATGGGCCAAAGGATACATTTTTTTTCTTTTTTCTAATAACAAAGCGGTAGAACTCTAAGAATTCTTGGAGGACTTGGAACTGAAGGCATTTTACTTAGCAAGAACGGCACAACAATACTTTTTGAGCATTTACTGGTTACTAAATAGCATTCTGATGACTTTTCATATATTAATGCACAAAGAAGTAATAATAATCTAACAGAACATGTTCTTTTTATGAGAATATTTTGACAAACATCCAGTACATGGAAGGGATTAGTTTTTAATCCAGGGTGTCTGACCTAGAATCGATCTAAAATGACACCCAGGACAATAATACAGAGACAAGCCTGCTGCGATCTGAGAAGGGTGATGGAAACAAGAAGACACCGACACAAAATGGATCTACTCTTTACATTTCATGCACACATCCACGCATGTAAAAAGCAATTACATACACATTAAAAGTGACAGAGTATAAAACTGTCATAGTAGCTGAAGAAACATTCTCAATGGCATAAAACTTATAAATCCATGTGTGGATGATGATGCTTCTGTCTTTTAATCACACTCTAAAGACAAACACACAGAATGCTGTAAAGAAAACAGCTATACACTGTATGTATGTTAACTGGAATTTAAATAAAAATTTGGGGAAAAAAAGAAAACCAACATTTGAGTCTAGTATTTCACTGAAAATTTTCTTCCAATAACCATTTATGCTATATTAGGTTTCAGAATTTTAAGATACTCAGAACATGTTAATTACGCGATTCTGGTTTTCTGTTTCTGAAAATACAAAGAAGAGAGTACGTCTGAGACATGGGTGTGGAGTAAAACAGAAACTTGCAGGACAACGGCCTGAATTCTGTATGAACACCACTTCCAGCAGTCCGTTACCTCCAGTGCACAAAAGAGAGAGCCCTCATTTTCCACTGGAAACTACAAGCAAAGAGAAACTCAGACGAAAGGAGTTTCCAGTTTGAATGTGATGGCTTCTGCACACCTTTCAGTAAATGCATCCAATCCTTATGAATGACTAAGAGACATATTTACATTATACATAAAGAATCTGGCAGAGAGCACCAAGCCAAGTAAAAGAAGTTAACAGCAGCTGTAATAATAAGCAAATTGGTATCAGTGCCGGCAGCACCAGGAAGGGCGTATGATCACTGCCCCCCAAAAATAAATCAAAATTATGAATCTAATTATGAGGAAAGAGTGGATATATACAAATCACAAGCCACACGCAGCGCCCACATCCTGTAATGTCTAGTGTATTTTTTTTTAACGATTTATGAGAGAAAGGGAGAGAAAGCGCGAGTGGGGGGAGGGGCAGAGGGAAAGAATCTCAAGCAGACTCCCCGCTGAGCGTGGGAGACAGACGCTGGGCTCAATCCCACGACCCTGAGATCATGACCTGCGCTGAAATCAAAAGTCGGTCACTTAACTAACTGAGCCACCCAGGCGCCCTTCTAGTGTATTTTTTTTTAATAGAGCATCTTTCTTTCACATTCTAAACAGCAAGGCTGTGTCTTTTCCAGAACTTTCTGAGTTATTTGGGACGCATATCCACCCTGCTTATTTGTGCATTTTCTTAATCCTGGCGTACACACAGCCATTAAAGTACCCAGATGGGACCTGACCGTGAAATGTTCCCCTTGACTGACTGATATCCCAGGACTCGACCGCATCGACGACAGAAATCTTTAATGCAATGCTTTCCCCTGTGAATCTGTCACAGAGGGAACATTTTCGATAGAGACAAGACATTAATTCAAAATGACAACTGTTCGTGTCCTATTGGAAGCCAGGTCGGAGGGAAGGGAAAGAGGGCTCTGGAATATAGGAGAGTATTCCAAAGAGCTGAATTTCAGTATCCTTAAAAAAAAAAAAAAAAAAAAGGGAAAAATTATTATTATTTATTTGATTTTAGAAAGAGGGGGAGTGCGTGCACGCGCTCGGGGGAGGAGGAGAGAAGCGGACTCCGCAGTGAGTGGGGCGCCCCACGCTGGGCTCAGGCTCACCCCCCCCCCCCAGACCCCGACCCGAGCCAAAATCAAGAGTCCGACGCCTTACGGACTGAGCCACCCAGGCGCCCCTCAGTATCCTTTTTAAAAAAGGTTTTTTAAAAAAAATAGGTGAAAACACTAAAAACAGCAACATCAGTACTAAAGGAATCGACACTGGCAACTTCTGATTGCTTGGAATTTCAGGAGGAGATGACAAGGCCTCCGACCTGGGACGCAAGGCTTACCTGAGCATTGGCCATTTCTTCTTCCCTCCCCTCGATCTCTGGATTTCTTTCTCAGAGGAGAGGTCGTGGAGCAATCACAGCGGCATCGGGAGAAAACTGCCCGTAAAGCCCCCAACAGAGCCTCCTCACAGGCAAACCGGTCGCCTGCAGGCAGGACCGTGAAATGCAGAAAAGGCCCAACTTCCTCGTCCTTTGTGTCAGGAGCTGCTCCGAAACAATGAGCTCCTGTTCGGAGACCGATCCCTGAGTGTCTCCGTCTCTGTTTCCGTTAGAGAAGGCAGATGGCTCTGTTCTAACCGGACACCTGGAGAAGAGCAAACACAGAACCGTAGCCACCTATCAGCGAAGTCGGACGCCCGTCCGGGCAGCGCTCCACCAGAAGCCAGATCAAACCAGCCGGGCCCAAGATGGCGGGTGCCATGACCGGAAGCGCCCGACCAAATAAGGAAGAAAAGGCGCGGAAACCCTGCTTTCAAGAAATTCCCACCCCAAGTCACAAATAGTCCACCCCCTAGTTAACAACCGACAACCACACGTAGAAACCCGAAGCCCGGGGCGGCCGGGTCCGCCGTCGGCATCTGCCGCTCTCACATCTTGAGAGTGTATGTACTTTGCTTTAATAAACTTCCCTGTTTGTGTCACTCATTTGCTGTGCTCTGTATGTCCCTGAATTCTTCCTTGTGACAAGAGGGGGACACTTCAGCAATATATTTGGGATGGGCCGGATCGAGGCCCCAGGGTCTCCCCAGGCCACCCAGCAACACTTTGAAGGGGCCTCCCTTCCCACAGACGCCCCCAGGTTCTACGGCATAGGAAACGTGTGCTGCCTGGACCTGACCTGACCCTCCCAGACTCGTGTGGCAGAGACCCTGTCACCGCTCCTTGAGCCAGAGCCTGCTCTCAACCCTCATAAAATCACCCGAAGCCCTCATGCTTAACCCTGGCCTCACTTAGAATCACCTGGAGCCCTTAATTACAGCACGGTTGTTTTCACCTCAATCAATTGACAAGAGTCTGAGGGGGAGGCCCCCAGATACTATCCTTTTTGAAACTCCACACGTGATCCTAGTGGGAAGCATTTGCGGAGGTGACCAGGCACCTTAATCCACTGTATATTTAAAATAACCAGTCTAGGGCGCCTGGGTGGCTCAGTCGTTGAGCGTCTGCCTTCGGCTCAGGTCATGGTCCCAGGGTCCTGGGATCGAGCCCCGCATCGGGCTCCCTGCTCGGCGGGAAGCCTGCTTCTCCCTCTCCCACTCCCCCTGCTTGTGTTCCCTCTCTCGCTGAGCCTGTCTCTGTCACATGAATAAATTAAAAAATCTTAAAACTAAATAAATAAAATAACATAACCAGTCTAAAATAATCCTTATGCCAAAAAAGACATATTTTGGGGTTACAAAATGCTCCCCTTGATGTGGAAGCAAAAGCAAGAGAAAACATTAAATATCCTTACTTCCTACAGCCCATTGACAAGTCCTTAAAACAGGTAGAGTGAAGCTCAGCGGCCTCTGTGTCAATACTTTGCTAAGGGCGAAAGCCAATCGTAGCTTAACATTGTCCCAAACACCCACCCTCAGCCCAGGATCCTGTAAGTCTACTTTAATATATACAAATTCTTTTGGAAACTTCCGTTTTCTCTACCCCCCAAGATGTATGTTGGCAATCATCCACCAAACATCTGAAGGGCCTCATGACTAAGGTCTTATTAGATGGAAATAAATGCCCTTTACCTAACCCCTCAAGGTCCTGGAAATCTTGCTTCCAAAATTCCTTAGAGACTTACATTATCCCTAACCCCCTCCCCATTTGAAAGTATATAATCTGCCTCTCCTCATGACCCCAGTGCAGCTCTTTCAGCCCTGGGGTCCTGTCCCATTAATAAAAATGGTGAGTAGGGTGCCTGTGTGGCTCAGATGGTTAAGCGTCTGCCTTCGGCTCAGGTCATGATCCCAGGGTCCTGGGATCGAGTCCTGCATCGGGCCTGCTTCTCCCTCTGCCTCTGTCTCTTATGAATGAATAAATAAAATCTTAAAAAAAAAATAAAAATGGTGAGTAATAAAACCACCTTTTTGCACCAAAGATGACTCAAGAATTCTTTCCTGGCCGTGGGCTCTGAACCCCAACATATTTTCTACATCATCCTTTAGTAGGTAAATGTTTATTTTCATGAGTCACCGCCAGTTTTCCAAAGTGAATGCACTCTTTACCCTCCTATCAGCAATATATGAGAATTCTAATTGCTCAACATTTCCACTGAAATTTGATATTATCCTTTTTTTCTCTATGTTAGCCATTCTAGTGGTTTCTCATTGTAAAATATGAAGTGGTCTTGCTGTTGTCCTACTGATTGGGATGAATGTGTAGGAGAGGAAAACTCGTTTCTTCCTTCTAGGTTCTTTGGCTGGTCTAATAATTAAACTGACATAAAACAGATTATTCAAAGGAGAAAAACAAATTTAATTTCCTCATTATAAGAACCCCAAAGATATTAGACTCAAAGACAAGCAAATGATGCTCAAATGCCATTCTGACCTAAGGAGACGGGGATAGAATTTAGAATTTCAGAAAGGGGGAAGTGTATTCACAGGAAAAAGGAAAGAGCAAATGCTGGCAAATGTTTTCCACAACAGGCAGGTGAATCTTTCTCATAAAAAAAATTATCTCTCGTATTAGCTCTCTTCCGGATTGAGGTCCCCTATCTAATTTCTTTTGGCAGTTAAATGAGAGGCAAAATAACATAACCTGAGTCTGCTGGGTTCTAATTGCCTTCAACTCAAAACAATCCACACACAAAGTGATTTATTTTGACATCACATATTCTCTCCCAAATGAATAAAGAAAAAGTGGCTCAGTTGGTTAAGCATCTTACTCTTGATCGCAGTGTTGTGAGTTCAAGCCCTGTATTGGCCTCCATGCTGGGCATGGAGCCTACTTAAAGAAAAGAAAAAGGTAGTGTGTGTGTGTGTGTGTGTGTGTGTGTGTGTGTGTTGTGTGTTGTGTGTATATACCTATTTCAGCCTCAGAAGTGAAGGAAATATTTCCATTTGCAACAGGATGTACTCAGAGGACATCTTGCCAAGTTAAATAAGCCACACGCAGGAATAAACCAGTTCTGTATATAATCCACATGTACGTGGAATCCATAAAAAGTTAAAATCACAAATGTGAAGATTAGCATGTTTGTTGTCAGGGGCTGAAGGTGAGGGAAACAGTTGAGATGCTAGTCAAATGGTAAAAAGATTCACTTAGGCAAGATAAATAATTACTGAAGGTCTGTCAGCTAGCCCTCTTGCTCAACTGCAGACCCCAGCAGTTAAAACCAGAAATAGACAAGAAGACCACTTACCTCATGCAGTGAAACCCCTGCTTTGTACTTTTTATCACACTTTCTTTAGGCGTTGAAGATGTTTTAAAATGACCAGAACATTCCAACTGCCAGGCCAGAAAAGTCCTGATAGCAACAGAATGCCTGCAAGAACTCATCCCCAGCTCTGCTCCTTCTAGGCTCATGACTGTGCACTGACCACGTACCAACCCCCACACAGGATCCTGTGCTCCCTGCCTGCTCTCTTGCGTGTGCCCCCCCTGAACCTCTCCCTATAAAACACTAGGTGTCCATCCTATTGGTAGAGAGATCAGTTATTAAGGCTTGAATCTACCTTCTCTCCCCAAAATAAATTTCTCCCTTTCGCTTTTCCAATCCCTTGTCTCTTGAGTTCTTGGTTTCTCTTGTGATGAGTTTATAGGAGTTTTTTCAGCAACAGTGTGGGCAAACCCAGCCAGGAGCTATCCTTTCATTTTGTCCGGCCCCCTAGGGATTCATTCCCTTGGACAGAGCACTTGGCCAAGGCAGTGTACCAGAGCTTATCTGTTCATTTCCTGAGTTAGGAGTGATGCTAAATAGGTCAGTTACAGGCCTAATACACATCACTCTGGCTGTAATTAATAGTAGTGTATTGTAGGGGCGCCTGGGTGGCTCAGTTGGTTAAGCGACTGCCTTCGGCTCAGGTCATGATCCTGGAGTCCCGGGATCGAGTCCCACATCGGGCTCCCCGCTCAGCAGGGAGTCTGCTTCTCCCTCTGACCCTCTTCCCTCTCATGCTCTCTGTCTCTCATTCTCTCTTTCTCAAATAAATAAATAAAATCTTTAAAAAAAAAATAGTAGTGTATTGTATACTTAACATTGGCTAGGAGAGAGCATCTTAAGTGTTCTCACTACACATGCAAATCTTAGCTATGTGAGGTGAGGTATATGTTCATTAGCCTGATTGTGGTAGTCATTTCACAATGTATATTTGTATTTACTTTTTAACACTTGAGCAACTGGGTGCCTGGGTGGCTCCGTTGGTTAAGCGTGTGCCTTCAGCTCACGTCTTGATCCCAGAGTCCCGGGTTCGAGTCCCACGTCCCTCCCAGGTTCCCTGCTCAGTGGGGAGTCTGCTTCTCCCTCTCCCCTCGCTCCTCCCCCCTGCTCATGCTCTCTGTCAAATAAATAAAATCTTAAAAAAAAAAAATACTTGAGCAACTACAGGATGTTCAGAAGTAGGAAACAGGGTGCTGAATGGGTTGGCTTTTTTTTTTTTTAAGATTTTATTTATTTATATGACAGAGAGAGAGAGACAGGGAGAGAGGGAACACAAGCAGGGGGAGCGGGAGAAGGAGAAGCAGGCTTCCTGCGGAGCAGGGAGCCCGATGCAGGGCTCGAACCCAGGACCCTGGGACCATGACCTGAGCCGAAGGCAGACGCTTAACGACTGAGCCACCCAGGCGCCCTGGGTTGGCTCTTCACGCACAGAATCTAATAAGACCAAAACATACAGTTCTTTCCTCCATATATCAGCTTTGGGGTTTCAGCAAAACGTGAGCACCTGCCATTGAGATGTTGTAGCCAAACTCAGGTGAGTTCGCTCCTTGGTGAATTCTAGGTAGAGTATGGGCTACACCTGGTGGAGCTGTCGCACAAAGGAAAATTTATTTGCAGCGAATAAAAAGTTATTTTGGAATAACTTCCAAAGCCTTGACTCCCTGAGCAGTGGTGAGTGGGTTCCTTTTATTTAGGGTTAGAATGAATATTCAGAATGAGGAGTTCTGTCATCCCTGGTAGAGGCAGGTATCAGGTTGCACAGGTAACTGTCAGTCTAGGGGAATGGTTGATGAGCGAGCTCTTAGAGCCTGTGCAAACTGAATGGAGCTCTGGGCTCCTTATCTCAGGACAGGAATGCAGGGCCTTGCTTACTTTTTTGAAAACAGCGCTTAAAATTGGTGCTACTGATGTCTCTGATATGGTTAGGCCAGATTGTTAGTTTTCTCATTCCCTTTGTTCCCTTAAAGTTCTGAACTACTGAGGTTTTTGCATTGCTCTGTAATTCTGACACATTCTAGGAAGTTCTGCAGGAAGTGTGCTAGGACAAG